GAAATGATTGGCTGAAAATAAACAACTACAAGAATGCTTGACCAATCAAAACCGCGGAAGAATCCGCGCTCAACTTTGATAATTACCATGGCAGGAAGAACACCCAACACGACAGCCGAGCTGACCGACGAAGGACTCATTGCGAACGACCGCGTGGTGCTTGACTTTGCGAGCGCCAACGAGGAAGTTGAAGAAGAGGACGAGGCAGAAGAAGGCGGTGAACGACCGGCGAAACGCCAACGTCAGGAGAAGGACACGACCAAGGCAGTGGAGGTACCGCTCAAAGCGACATTCGACCGCGTGGACAAGATCAACAACACCATCATGCGAGTCACAGGGAACGACGACAGTGGCTTTTGCATGTTCAACACGTCGTCGTCGTACCCCATGATGATGGTGTACAAGAAAGAAATTGCCGCGTCGCGCAAGCTCCTGAAGGCCAAGAAACCTCAAGATGCGTTTTGTATCGCCATGGCGGCGTATTTGAGCATGCAGGATTACGACGTATGGTACCACGACACGGAAGACCCTCGTACCGTGGAGCTGTTGTTTACGGCGTACTACAAGCTGTGGAACGACATCTTCAAGTCTGACGACACCACGCTTGGACTCAAAGGACGCGAGGCGTTGATCCATGAGCTGAGCAAGTTTGGCAATGGCGCCAAGGATGACCTTGAGTACAACTTTCCATGGTTTTTCAAGGCGTAGTTTAGTATTCGTGATTGATCATAACCAGCTACTATAACATAACATTGTAAATACACTTGCACCTCATCGTGAGTTTGACGATCATTTTGGAGCTCGAACGATGTCTCCATAGCTTTTGACTTTAACATGGAATTGTTAAAGAGTTGTGAAATAGTGTAAGCTACGGCCTTGGTACTGGTGTACTAGTATGGTCTAGACTATACTAAACTCTTTTTTGCGAATGACCTTTGGGAGGTCTTGTGAATATTGATTGGAGTAAACAAAGATAAACCTGTATCCAATCAAAAATTAGTCAACGACATCGTTGCAGCCTCCATTCAAGTGCAAAATGGATGACGCTCTTGTGCTGTGTGCTGCTGTTGCGGTTGCCATCGAAGCCGTCTTCTCGTCGATCGATGGCCGTAGCTACTGCTCCTCCATTACAAACCACCTGCCCTTAACCCAAATCCAATAAAAAATCATGAATTGTTCTTCCGAACGACAATAATGTATAGAAATTATATATTGACAAGCTAAAATATGCACAGACAATTTGATGTCAAAGAATATTCTGACAGAGATTTCCCTTTTCAAACGGGAGGTGAGAAAATATTTTAAAAATATTTTGATGTGACCTCTGGATGCCATGATTTTTGAGAATTATCTATAACATGTAGGTGAAAATTAGACAGTTGCAGTTCAAAAAAATTCTGTTAGAAAGTAGTAAAAATTCGACGTATTATGTCACTTTATATATGTCAGATTTGGTAGCCAAACCCACAAATTTGAAAAACTGTCATAATATTTCTGAAAAGTTGCAAAAAGAGGCGTTTTCTGACATTTTTTGTGGCAGCCAGAGTGGCCCAAAATATATTTTTCCCTAGCCCTTGTTAAAAACTCTTCAATCAAGACATGTTTCAATTTTGATCGGATTTGAATTCGGCCCCAAAATGTTTGGGCCTGAATATTGCAATATTTCCGGTTACCAGACGCACCCATGACAATAACACTGCGTGGTGGAGTTTGAATTTTTTTACTCGATGACCACCGGAATGCATCGAACCTCAAATATAGGAAATACATTATGCAGATCAATCCTTCCACGCATTAGTTCACCACTGCAGACTTCGCTCCGCCGAAGGTTTGCCTGCCTCCCTTGGAGGTCTTCAGGTAGCACACGCCATTGCCCCAGCTAAACGCGCCACAATTACTCGTTTGACGACAGATTGCACAGCAGTCCGCCACGTCAGCTTCTACTGCCGACAGGTCGTAGCCCACGTAATTCACATCCGACTCCAACGAACTGCACTTGTACACGCGGACGGACACCACCCCAGACGTCATTTTCGTCTCCGCCCGACGACCCTTCAAGTAGCACACGCCACTGGACCAACTGTACGCATTGCACGCTTGGTTGCTTTGGCACGCTGCGCAGCAGTCGACCGCTTGGTCCGCCTTCACGTTCGCGACGTCTTGGCCCACAAAGTCCACGTTTGACTCGACGGCGCCGCACGACGGTGGTCCTGCCAGGAAAAGGCTTGCCTTGGCTCCAACCACAGTCACCTTGGCGCCTTGGGTGTGCTTGAGCCAGCAGGTCCCGCCGTTGTGCTTGGACCACACGAACAGTTTGCACCCAGAAGTCGCTTTGCAATCCCCACAACACGCGTCGGCGGAGGTTTGACTCGTGGAGGTGATGTCGTTGCCAGGATAGTCCGTGTTTTCTTCCAAGGTGCCACAAATGGTTGGGGGGTTGATTGGGTGGAGTACTCGTGCAGACTTGGAGCCTTCTTTGTACTTGTGCCTAAATTCACCAAAAACAGCTTTAAGCCAGCACGTGCCACCGTTGTCTTGCGTAAACGTAAACGCATTGCAGTTGGGAGTGTTGTGGCATTCGTCGCAACATTCGTCGGCGGTGAGTTTGGGCACTGCCTTGATGTCCTTCCCGCTGACCTCGAAATTATCGACCCAAGTGGTACACTTCGGGGGAGGAGCAGTCGCGGCCTTAAAGATGTTCAAGAGGCCGTAGCCATAGACGTTGTTGGGGTATTGCGTGTTGGGTATACCACCGCAGGTCTTATCGGACGGAAATAACGTGTCCGTGTCCACATTTTTGGCCAGGGCCGTGTACACATGGTCATACGTGGCGTCTTTGTTTGCAGACAAGTACAAGGCAATGGCTCCAGAAACATGAGCCGCAGCCATGCTCGTGCCAGATCTGAACCAAAGGCTATCGTCATCCGAGTGTACTGCGGAACGGATGAGGCTACCAGGAGCCGAAATGTCTGGTTTGAGGTCGCCCACTGTGGAAGGTCCCAAACTTGAACTGCCCGTCACGTAACCCCTGGTGTCAATGGAGCCGACAGAAATCACTTCAGGGGATGCGGCTGGATAATCCATATACCCACATCCTTTAGAGCCATTGTCGCCGTTCGCAAACACGGGAATGATTCCCGCACTTCGCCACGATGCAATCACTGATTTAATGGCAAAGGTCGCGGACCCCCCCCAGTTGTTGGAGATCACATGAGGGGCCTTGTCGCAGTCGGGGTTGTTGCCGTCTTTATCGTGGGGGCAAAATAGGAATTGAGCGCATTGCACCAGCATATGTTGCTGGCACGAGTCGTCCTCGCACCCTTTGCACGCAATCCACTTGGCATTGGGGGCGACACCAATACCTTGCGTGTTTCCCACCATGATGCCCATGGCGTGAGTGCCGCGGCCCGACGAGTCGTTGGGCAGCTCAGTCTTGTTGTACGGGTCGAACCAACCGTATTCACTTCGCCAGTTGGACTTCAACGCCTCGTGGGTATAGCGAACCCCGGTGTCGATGCTGGCCACGACAATGCCGTCGCCCTTGATACCTTTGGCCCACAGCGCCGGCGCTTGGATCCTATCGACCCCCCATCCGCTGACCTCATTGACAGCACTCTCTTCTTGGACGCCGCTTTTGGATTCAGCGAATGCCATCACAACTGGCTCGTCAATGGATTTGACTTCCGGCAACACCGCGATCTCGTTGATGAGGTCGTTGGGGGCGTTGTCGATGTACGTGGAGCAGTCGATCCATGTCGTGGCCACTTCCACAGCCGCCGATTCAACTTGGTTGGCCAGGAGCGATTTGACCGGCGCCTGTGACTTGGTGGTGTGCTCCTTCAACAAACCAACCAGCGACGCGATGGTTTCGGAGCGAGACGCGCCGGCCTTGAGTCGGCGGCGGTGGGTTTCGTGGGCCTCGTCACAGTGATATTTGACCACGACGTTCGACTGCTTGGCGACTTCCAAGTTGCGATGTACCTGGACCGAGATCTTGGCCGTGACGGCGGTGGCGGCGGCGGCGAGGGCCACAAAATGGTACTGAACCATGATGTTGATGGGCAAAGGAAATTGAAAAATGAGACCAATGACTCTCGAGCGTTCTCGAGCTGGGTGCACCACGTGACTTGTCTCGCCGAACACCTCGCGAAATACAGAGTAGTACTGCCTCCAATAAGCAGTCACAGGGGGTATGTCGCAATTTTGGAATTACTGCACGAAATCGGGTGGCTTGTGCGGAGTTGACTTCAGTACTAACAGGGAACGACGAGATGGTTGTATAGATTGGATGGGCGACGTACAGTACGCAAGCTCAATCCGTTTGGACGACTGCTTCGTCTTACCGTGTTACTGCACCGTTGACAATTTGGTGCAGGTCAGCGGAGGATGTACATATTTTGGTCATACTATGATTTTCAAACTTCGTCCACAGAGCTCAGTAAGCCACAGAGATTTCGGAATGTGTCCTTGACTATTCGGCCATCTTCACATGCCATTTGCACGCTTTCAGAGGCCGGAACAACCGCGAAAACTTGCATGGCGCATGGGCCCTCGATGGATTCAACGGCCTTCCCTGCGCGTGTCATTGGACACATTTTGGTTCTTTCTTTTAATGGAACGCCAGTAAAAATGTCAGTAACGTTTTTTCATACTTGTAGAACTCAAAATGGATTAGTCAGATATTCTTAAATAATCAATTATCCTATATATTGTTAATAACCACTCTGGCCTTTTCCGGTCGAAAGGCTGTTCCCATAGTAGCTCAAATCTGATTTTCATCAGTGTACGCATTAAAATGCGTACTTTCGTATTGATAAAACTACTGTACTCGGACATCACATCTGCACTTTGTTCCGATTACTCTCCAATCCAGGAAGTAAATCCCCATTGTCCCAAGCTCGTTGGGATAGAACAACGAGGTTAAATCATTGAGAA